CCATGGTTCCTATATTTCCAAAGAGAAGGAAACCATGAGAGTCTGCCCTTACTGGAAGTTTCAGAGGATTAGATTAGCTAAATTCCAATCATTGTGACATAATACTCCCAAATAGCAGAATTGTTCTGGAAAGAGTAATCAGGGAGCTTCTAGGCTGTATAATAACTATGGTCCCTCATCTTTTCATAAAAAACCCTCACATTGGGGAATGGTCATTTAGGCCATGAAACCCAAAGTCAACATCCTACTGAGTACTGTAGTCCAGATTAAAGAATTCCTGAGATGCGAGTACCATGTTTCCAACAGTTTTTGGCTTGCCAAAGAAGCTATGTATAAATAGCAGCAAGGTTTTTTTTTTAATTCTATATTACTGTAGATAGATAAATGGACTTCAGATTTTATCCTCCTTCCTCAATCTGATGATTTCCAGCTGAATTCAGACTGATACATGATACATGCCAGTATTTAAAATTCTGGAAGTTAAAATTCCAACACAGTTGGAGGTCACCAGTTTGAGGATTAATAGGTTACATCGATCACTGATAATAAAATGTATTGTCATCCTGCTTCAATAATCACAGGGAAAAAAACCCACTGAGAATGCAAATGATTTTATATGAATAGATTTAGACTATAAATTTGCATCTGCACAAATAGTTCTCACTGAGATGAAGGAATCAAACTACTGTCAAGCATGCCACACTTTTCCATTTTGTATTTATGTAGACTACCAATCATAAAGGGGAGACAAGGGGATCAGCATTCAAGAAGAAAGAAAATTGAATCAAAGTTTTGGCACAAATAAAGTTGATTTCCAACTAATGTTTCCTAGAGCCTCTAGATGACTTTAGAGGCATCTCTGCCCTGAGAGGATGTCAACAGCAAACCGCCTCTTAAAGCCATGTATCAATTTATTAAATGGGCTGCAGTACTCCAACAATAACTTTAGAATTCAAATTGTGTATCTGGCATAAAAAATAATGATGCCGTCCAGTTAAGTACAACTTCTGTTGACCACATAGGCAGTTTTCTTGAGGTTTTTTTTGTGGTCCTTCATCCACATATTTGACCAATCCTGCTTCACTTCCTAGCCCAAGAAGTTACCAGCTTGAATCCAAGTGGTCATAAGATACCCATTTACTAGAAGACTAACTGGTGAAGTTGGTCCTTGTGACTTCTAGATATTCTGCCATTTCAGCTCTGTCTTCTTGGAGCAAGTTAGTCCATTTCCAGATGAAGTCCTCTTTTATTTTGTAAGAATGCATTTGGGAGTGAGACACCAGTAAAGTGAGACCCCAGCACTTTGCTTTTAAATTTACTGTAAGTATTTAAAAAAATAAAGTTAGATAAAGGAAGAAGCTTCATAGCATCAAGCTTAGTGGCACCAAGGTGTCTATTTTGTCTATCCAAATGCAGCTTACCATGCTTTCTTCTTTTTATTTTTTAAAATTCAGTACTCCTTATTGCAGAATACAAGTTGATAAGTTTGCTCCAACAAGGTCATAGTCTAAAACACTGAGGAAAAAACCAAAACAAAACAGGAGATATATTTGTTTAATCAGGAAGAGAAATGTGATTATTTTATTTACACGTTTAAGTTTAATGATAGAAGAGCATCCAGTTTTACAATATCGAAAGTTAATAGCAATGCAGCCAATAGTATAATTGTTACAAATGTCATGCACCATATTAAAATTATAAGTAGTTTGTCATTGGGTTTTATTTTTTTTTGGAGGGGGGGGGGGTATTAGCAGCATCTAAAGTATATATTTCTACATAATATATTTACAGTGGTAAAAGTTAAAAATGGCAGCAGAGTTGCTTTCTTTTCCACATAGACATTCTATATCTCCAGCAGCTGCACAAACAGGCAGAAGCAACATGGATCCACTCCATGCCAGAAAAATGTTTGTTCATTTCTCTTTGTCATGAATTCTCAAAAAGCACCCATTCCTGTAAAGACAAGGACAAGCAAACAATGCTTGGTAAAGAAGCAGTCCGGATAAGATCCAATAAGCTTTCTGATCCTAAACCTACTAGAGCTACCAGATCTGGCACTGCCAATGTCAAAGAATCACTAAATGGCACCAAAGCAATAAAACCCCTGAACTTTTACTCTCTCCACCTCCCCTTCCCCCTCCCCCCCAATTCCAACACTTACTCTTTAATGCTATCAAGCAGTTATCCTGATTTTTGCAGACCATATCTCATATTTAGCTAAATCTGAAAACTGCTACTACATACATACACTGGTGTCTTTTCAACCACATACAAAACCAAACAGAGTCAGACAGGGCCTCCTTCTGCAATCTGGTACTTTCCAGATGATATGAATGAATGCAGTTGTTATCTCCAGCTTGAAGATGATATGGTTATAGGGTGTGACATGTTAAAAGCATCAAGCAAAATTGAGATAACTTCATTTTTTAAAAAAATTCTGTATCTTTAGGAATCTCATAAAAGATTATACTTCATGATGCGCATAAATTAATACAGTAACATGCAAATAATACTTTTAAAAGCCTTAAACAAAAGGAATCCTAATATAGATACAGATTTTCAGAAGGAATAGTAGAATGCGGTCGGGCTATGTTAAGGCTGCAAGGGTAAAAAGGAAAATACTCAACTTATACCAAAAAACCGCCAAGAAATATTGTGCAATATTAGGGAAGGGCACTTGAAAACTTGGACAAAGAAAGAGGGAGGAGGAGAGAAAGAATAGAGAAAGCCCTCTCCCATCTTCTTACATCATGCATATCTCCAAGGCACAGGGTTTTTAAGAAAGCTTTCTTCCCGCTTCAGATACGTATTACTGGAATAGATACTCCTCAGACATCAGGGTCTTAAACCATTTAAGGCTTTAAAAGTTATTTTGAAAGATCTGAAACTTGACCTGTAGCATACAGTGTAGTTCCTTTAGGATGACTGAAGCAGCTGCATTCTGTACCAGTTGTAACCTCCAGCCAACTGCAAGGCATACTACAGTAGTTGTCAGACTTTGTGCTATTGAGACTATTGGAAGAAAAATCCAGGTCCAGTTCTAAGCCAGAAATAAAATGGAGACTGGTTGCAAAGAAAGATTCTGTTTATTGGTGAACAGAACCAACACATACACACCGTGCAGTTCTGGGACAGCTAACAAAATGGAGTTGAGAGTGGGTGAGGTTTTATACCTACTTTGGGCTTTGTATTTAAGCTTCCTGTTCCTGTGCAAGAACATGTCCTTTAATATTCTAATGGCTGTTGTTGGATTCCTATAGGGTCATGGCTGGCTCTATTGGCAGAAGGGGAAATGCAACTCCTAGGTGTTTGTCTGAGTTAATCTCATCAACCTAAGGTTCTATCTGACCCAGCCTTTCTGAATGGATTATCAAATCTGCATTTCTAAAAGCTGGCCTCCTCCATTTCTGCTTGGGGCAGGGAGACTGGTGCTGGTTTCTGCCTCCCTAAGATTTTTTTTTTTTTTGATCCCTCCTTTAGGGGAAATATTCTATTCTGCCTTTTTAATATTCCCCAAAATATTTCATTCCCTAGGAGGGTGAGTGGGTGGGTGCTGACTTTCTACAAGACCCAGCCAGGAAAGGTTGCATCTGACAGCTGAGCACAGCTGACCAAATGTACTTTGGACCACCAAGGTCTCTTGTGTCTCACATGACAGAGGCAATCTTTGATATATTTATTGAACTCCATGCAATATGTATGGAATCCTATGACAATATCTGTTCTAAATTCCATAGCTTAGATTGTACTTCTGGTACTGATGGGATCATCAGAGCCTCAAATGGAAGTGGATTTAAGTGAGAATCAACCCATCAAGTTTTCAAGTTGGAGGGTAGATATTCAGTTCCACAACAGAGATTCAAATTAGTATCCCCCACCCACATCTGCTCTATTAATTTCTGCACTCTAGGGATATTTCCATGGAAGACTTTATGCCAATTCAAAAGCAGCTCTGGATTTCTTGTGATTCCATGTTAGCTGAGTTTAGTCTACGCCTATTTCTGGTCTAGCTAAGTTTTAATCAAAACAGCGATGATGATGCAAATCATAACCTTTTTCAACAGGGCGATTTTGGAGAGGCTATGGGTATGTTTCTGCTGGAAGGATCTCTTGCCTTGTCTTTATTCCTCCTTTCTGAGTTTCAGCCCTCTTAGCTAGTCCAGGAAGGGGGATGCTATTTTTACATAAAAGGGTGAAATTGGCAAGAGGCCCTTCTGTTTTTCAGTCTTTTTTTCCCCCTTCCCTTTTGGGATGGAGGTGGGAGAATTGATTTTGGTTACCCCAGTGCAATCAAGTTGGCAGTTGTTCCGGTTTTGCAACATAAACATTCTGCAATTGTTTTAGAATGCACTAAGGACATTCTGTGTTACCCTTCCATTTTAAGGTGATCTCTAATAGAGGCGGAATGGTGCTTTGATAGGCAGCTTTACACCATTACACACATCAGATTGATTTATATATTTTGCAAACAGGAAAATGGACAGAATACCTATTTTAAAACATGAAAGAGCAAACAACCATGTATTTCATTTCCTTTTTCTGTGGAATGATGACAAGGATTGGAAGAGGGGCATTGCTTCAAAACTTGCAGTAGCGTTGATACAGTAAATAGTTATCTAGAACAAATAGCAATCATGAGAAAATAGCAAACATGTATTGTGATGATTGATTTGTCATTTGTCTTCTTATTCTACTCCTCTATGTAGTTCTAATATTCTCAGATTGATAGGAATGAAGATGATTAGTACATTTATTTCAAATTGCTTTGGAGGAATTGAGGAATGGACAAGACTAAGATTCTGTTTCTCTCAAAGGAGTGAGTGTTGTGCACAGAAATGTCTTACAACTCTCATCCCTCTGTTTTTTTAATGTATTCCCTCCCCAGGGCATTTCACCCAACAAAATGATAGTAATTTCTAGTAATCCCTGACTGACTGCACTATTTTTCTTTTCTTTTTCTTGTTTTTTTTTTTCCTATTTTGGAACTTTTTCAATCATAGGTGAAAATTGAGAACCAACATGATTTCCAAGACATTGTAAGTGTGGTAGCCATGGCCAAAACATATGTCACGACAGAGGCTTTTGTTGACTCCAAATATGACATCCGAATCCAGAAAATTGGCAACAATTACAAAGCTTACATGTGAGTTTATGTACAGATATTGTGACTGTGTTGAAGAGATTTTGTTTTCAATTGAAAACAAAAGTAGTAACCAAAGAAATGCTAGAATTCTAAACGCATGTTATATTCTAAATGTTGCATTCTTCTCTTGTTTTAAAGGCTAGCCAAGAAAAGTAACGTATGTTAAATGAAAAGACAAATAATAACTTTGATATAATGCATTCCCTTCTGGGGAGGCTTTAGGCAGCTGCCAAACATATTGTCTTAACAGGATTCTGAATCACAAGTTAAAGAAATGCACACATGTTGTGGTTGCTTTGCTGTTCAGCAGCCCATAGAATAAAAAAGACATGATGGAAGGTCTATTAAAAGAAGGATTAGGGCAGTGGATTTGTGCTCTCCAGATGTGAGAGATGCAACTCTAGAGTTGCAGCCCCAATATACCTGGAGGGCAACAGCTTGCAAGTTGCTGAAGGCTAGAGAAAATAGCAACTGAAAACTATTGGGCTGGATCCTGGACTAGATAAGTGTTAAATAGCAGCAGCCTGTTACTATGCATGTGGATAACAAGCCCTTTTGTAATGAGTAGTTACTAATTAAGACTAGGAACTAAAAAATAACAGGAAAAGCAAAATTGGAATTTAACCACAACTAATCCATGTTATAATTGTATCATTCTTAGAATATACTCCTAAATGCTATTGTTTGTTCAATTGTTTACAATATAATATTTTCCTAAATGTATGTCAAGCAGAATATAAGACATTTTGTCATCAGTAGCATATCAGAAATTTTTTCTACATTCATTTTACAAGATAGGACAAGAAAGAGAGAGAAAGAAAAGAAAAGGGAGGGAGGGAGGGAGGGAGGGAGGGAGGGAGAGAGAAAGAAAGAAAGAAAGAAAGAAACTATTTTACATGATTTACCAATATCAGCATAAGTGGCTAAGTAGAAGAAATGAAGTAAAAAGGTACACATTTTTTTCTGAAAAAACGCATTTTTCTCTTTTATTAATATTTTTTAAAACTAGATAGACAAAAAAATTAGAGCAAACATTGAATTGGTAGGTGGACAGAGGGACTGCAAAATTGTACAGTTGGTGCTCAATATATTGTTGATAATAGATAAAAAGCAAAATGTACTAAGTTGTTTTTAACAAAAAGGAAAAGGATTATAAGTTTCTTTTTTAAAGTCTGAGTTGAATTCCAATATCTGCACTATTTATTATTTGAAGATAAATCACATGAGAGAAAAGGGGGGGAAATCTGCTAAAAGCACTATTGAGTAAATATTTAGTTTCCAACTTCCCATTTGTACTCTAACTGATATTCAATATTTATACAATTCAATTTTTTATGTATTTCTAACTTCAGTTCTTTAATCAATTCTTTTCTCCTCAAAGTGTACTCTAATGTTTACATTTGCCTTGCTATGTAATATTATAATATGCATGGAAACTATTTTGCTTGAATGTAGGCAAACTTCAATTGTGAATATATGCTGCTAATGTTACCTCTGTTGATTATGCTTCCCATTCTGATATCATCAGTAATATGTCTCTTTGCCAATGTTGTGTTAAACTTCTCCTTGAATCCATCATTATGCATCTTAGTAAATTGTGGTTTTTGTGTGTGATATAAAATGTATATAGACAACATGTAATGATCTAAATTTCTGTTCAAGTGATGCCATCTTTTCTGAGGGCAGAAGAGATGCTAACTTTAAAAAGTTAAGACTGCACAAGTAGGAGACCTCAGCCAAAATTGAAATGTAGATTCAGCTCTTGATCTGAAATGGTGTTTTTTTTTAAAGTCCAGAAAGATTAGCACTTCCTTAGCTTGTCAATATACCATTTCCCGAACTGAATAGTCACGTATTTGAAAGAACTGGACTTAGCCTTTGCTGTAAGAATTAAAACACATTGTGTGGTCTTACCCAAGCATCATTCAAAATATAATTAAATAGAGTGGTGTGGTGGCCTAGAGGTGGAGTGCCCTCCTCACAATCAGGAGGCTATGAGTTTGATCCTAGGTAGAAGCAGATATTTTTCTCTGTGGGCACAATGAGAATATATCTGCTGACGACAGGAAAGGTATCCTGCCATTAAACACTCTGCTAGCTCCATTCAGTTGCCCAGACTCCATCCCACAAGGGATTATGGGGTAATTAAAAGATGATGATGATGATTCAAAATGTAATTAAATGTACCTTATAACCAGTTCTTTTCCAGCATGTGGAAAAAGTATTTGTATCACTATAACAAGTGATGTGCTCAACGTTTGAGTATCATGACTGGTACTAAAATTAAAATTCTGAATATTAGTTTCAAAATGTTCTACTTTTCAGCAGACAACTATATTCTCGTACCCTTCTGATGATGCACATCAAGAGCCTGTGAAAGCTGACATTTATAGTATCCGATTATGTAGCTGGGCAACTTTATGGATGCTACACTCAAAATGTAATTTCAGAAGACCAAGTCTGCAAGCGGCACCATCAGCAAGCACAGGCATTAATAATCAGTTACAAGAAAAAAAGACTCGAGTCCTTTAATACCAGGAATCAGTGGGAGAAAGCCAGTGGGTGGTTTTTAGTGCCATTCAATCTCCGTCAGCAGAGATAGCTGTATTTCTATCACAATAGGAAGCAGACCTTAATGAAAGCCACTGGTTTAGCTTTTTATCCTATCATATCCCTTTTTTTAAGGCCAATTCTAAAGCTCAATGATTTCTGTGGGAAGCTTTTGCTTGGCTTTTCTGGCATAGAGCTTCACGAGCAGTTTAAATTCTATACTACAGTGGCAAGGTTAATTATTCCACAGCCTTTTCACAAACATTTCTACTGTACAATGCCTGGCATGCCCTGCAGAAGAGTTCATAAGGCTGATATAAGAACACCCAACAAGGATTTGGATAAAGATGTAACTACGTGGGAGGTTGCCATCATTTAGAGGGCCGTTTCCAGCTTATGGATGGTGTTACACATCGACTGAATCATCAGCAACTGTTAAAAGCTTCGAAGACAGCAGGGCTCTGAAAGGATTTTGTGCCAACTCAGTCTGTCCTGCTTCCCTCATTTCTTCCCTCCTTTGTTCAGTTTGGAGAGGAATTACAATGTTTGGGAGCATTAATTGTTCTCATATGGCTTGTTTGTTTTTCCCAGGAGGACATCAATCTCTGGAAACTGGAAAGCAAACACAGGTTCTGCCATGTTGGAACAGATCGCCATGACTGAGAGGTATTAAATAGAAAGAGCTACTATTACTAACATACAATCTTTGGGGGTAGAACTGATAGGCTTAATACTTAATACTTTAAGTATTATCTCAACAGCCAGCAGTAGTGCGGAAACTCAATTTGCATTCTTGAACATTAAAACATGGCACCTGCTGCTTTTTGCTTCTCTTCCTTATCATTTAGCTGGTCAACTCTAGTGTTGCTTTCTTTCTCTGGAGCACAGTGGGGTGATATCTCCTATTAATCCTAGGTTGTCATGCCAAGAAGGCAGAGTGGGAGGCAGGCTGAAAAGAGAATATGCCTGAGCTTTTCCATTTCCAGTCAAGGCAGGTTTCCTATACCAACATTTTCTGCACAGAACTATTCAGCCTGCAATCAGGTTATTATATGTGTTTACTACATTGCCGTTGTGTATTTTATTACACATAATGGCAAAATAATAGAGCACCTATTTGCACACAGAAGGTCCTAGGCTAAGTTGGACTGTCTTAAAACAGGTTTAGAAGACCTCTGTGTGTGTACTTGCCTAACAGTGTATATAACATTGAATTCAATAAGCCAACATAAGGCAATGTCTTCTGTACACATTCAAATGCAAGTCTGTAAAATATGATATATAATCATAATTAACTTGAAGGTGTTTTATAGTTTTTGAAATGTGTTGTATTAATATTATACTTTTAAGTACCCCTTTATAAAATATGTGAGACACATAAATCTCACTGGGTTCAGCTAAATCTTGGTAACCCACATATTATAATATGAATGCAAAACAGAGGCCCAAGTAATTGATCAGCCTACTATTGACCCCTTATGATGCCATGTTAGCTGTGTAGCTGAATTTTTAACAAATCCTATGAAGAATACTGACATCAATCAATGTGAATGTTTTGCTTCCTACAGATCCTAGGCAGGACTGATGCTAGCCGGAATGAATTTATTAAAGGAGAATATTTGTAGCTCAGGGTTGAAATGAGAGGTCCTTGGTGTTCTCTGAGCTTGCTTGTTTTCCTGTAAATGTTTCATTACCCTAACTAGATAACATCATCAGTGCTAGTAAGGAGTGCTGTTTGCTGTCAGTTTATTTTTTGGTGTCTTGCCTGTCTGTGTGGGTGGAGGAGGTCTTAGAGATTCTTTGGTTGGGCTGTTTATGGATAGTTCTTTGGTAGTTTCTTGATTGGGGTATTGCTTACTTGATTGTTGGTCTGAAGTTAACCTTGTACTTAATCTATGGTGATCTGGGTGCTGATTACTGGTGGAGAGGTGCTGGAATCTTTTTCTTTTCAACTGAATGAATTCAGTTAGTTCTTGTTCCCCACCTCCCCCAAATTTTGAGGTGGAATAGATTATGAAGCAATTTGAACATCTCTTTTGTTTTTTAAAGTATTTGAACAGACTCCTATTCAGCACTTCTTGAATGATCACATGACCATGAGAGTTTCTTTCAGGTTGCTCTGAAGTATTCAGGATGGGCTTATTATACCCAACTACTATTGCATTCGAATCTTGTTTGAGATTGTTGAATTATTTCCTATCTACACTTAAGTTGTATGCTGTTTTTCCAGCATCTTCTTGTTCATTCTTCCATGAGCAGCCACTTTGTTCCCTTCCTCCAGGCCTAGATTTCCATGAGGTTCCTTGTGAATTAGCATGGGCAACATGTTTGATTCATGGGGTTAATCCGCAATGTCAACAGCACATTCCTAGTACCCTTCTCCTCACACAAACCCAGCGTGGGAAAGAATTAGCTCACCAATGATAATTTATTCTAATTTTAAAGTTTTTCTTCAAAAAAGATATTCAGATTTTCACCTTTGTCTCCATTGTTTCTGCCTTACCCTAATACTTTGTCACCTCTCTCGAGAAGTACAGTGGTGACTACAATGGCAACACTGTTAGGATGATGTCAGTCAGAAATCAGTATGAGCCATTTCTCCATTAGACAACAGATTTCCACCATATGAGGGCATTCCCAAGGTATTTCAGAACAGAAACTGTCTGCAGTATCACAAGTCTTTTCAGACTTCTGAAAAGCCCTCAGAATGAAGGGGAAAAACCACACCCAAAGTTTTTATAACTTGTATCTAGAGTTAATATAACTAATTTTTCTCCTACTGTAATGGATGAAAGAAAAGAAAGTTTAAGGAAGAAATAAAAGTACATGAAATATTCTCCTATCCATTGTTTGGTCAGTATGAGTGAGTATGCAGCTTTGTTTAAAGCTGCAAACTCACTCATGCTATCAGATTTTGCTATCAGATTTTTTCATTTTTAGGATCAAATAACTCTTTGCTCCCTTTTAATGATTCACAAGGTAAGCTATCCAAGTTGTCTATTTCATTAGGCTTAATAGGTAGGGCTGGCCCTAATAGGACTTTTTTTTTTACTTTAATTGACTATAAACTACAGACAGAGTATTTAGCAAGTGCTATTACTTATACAGAGATATGGAAAACTCTAACTCTACCTTTTACTCATGCTGGCTGAGGAGGCCTGTTATGGTCCCTATCAGCCTAAGTATTCCAGCTGGCAAGGTCCAGGAGAAGAGTGTCATCTGCCATTGCACCTGCCCTTCAGAACATCTTGGCCCCGCTCCCAGAGTGAGGTCCAATCACCCTGACCTTCCATAAGAGCCTAAAGACCTGGTTCTGCCTGTTAGCTTGGGGCTCCAATGAAGAAGCATCACAGTGGAGGTGGTTGATCAATTAACAACAGATCCCACTTCCCTTCCATCCCATCTTTTAATTGGGGTGCAATATTTGGCTCTTCATTGTACTTTATTTATGTCTTTTAGCTTTGTATAGTTTTTATTTTTTAAGACCGTAAGCCGCCGAGAGTTACCTTGAGGTAAGATGGCAGTCAATAAATTTTACAAATAAATAAATAATAAAAATACCCAAGACTACAAAATCTTATCCTGGTTTACATCTATTCGGCTTAGATTCAGGAAAGCAGCAGACTATAAAGAACCCCTCTTAAATTCTCTTAAAAGATAAAACATAAGGAAATACCCCTAAATACAGAAAGGATGAAATACAGAATACCTTTTTTTTTGTTTTATAGGTCTTTCATGTTGACATGACTAGAGAAAGCTCATATGCAGCGTTCAAAAGCAATACATCATTCGTGTCACTTCTATAAGTGACTGACAACTTAGATATAAAAGCTAAAATCAACATAACAAACTGCAATAAAATGTAAAATAAAGAAGCCAAAGGAATAAAACAGTTGGCAGTAGCTTAGTAATTAAATTGCACTGAAATCAAGTGAAATGGAGATCATCTTTGACCCTGCTTTGACAGACATGTCCATGTGCTTTCCTTGGAAACGATACAGAAGTAGTTTTCCAGGGTATTCTGGATCTTTTTTTCATTATTATTTTCAGTCTTGCTTACAATTGAGGAACTGCGGACTCTCACCCAATTCTAATTAAGTCTAATTAGAATTAGAATGAATTAGCATTAATTAAGCTAAGGTTGCCTAGGTGCTATCACCCAGCAAAGCAAAAGCATTTTACCTAGAATTACAATCAACAAAGAAGATTTTAGGGGCTAGGAAGACAGAGTTCCACAACCAACAACACCCAAGTGTTACTGCTGTTCTTTTAATCACTGTCATCTAGTTGTCCAATGTGGGCAACAAGGAATTAAAGCCACTTGCTTCTATGATCCTTTTCACTTTGAGCAGTGATTGACATAAGGAGAACAAGCACCAAGGGGTGGAAATGAGGAGTTATTCCCACTGAAGGCATGTCAAAATATGGGGCTGCTTTAAACTTTATGTCCATGAAAGAACATAATAGTCAGGAAGATTCCTATGGTGATGGATCATCTTCAGATATCTGAAGCCCCAATCCTTGCTGCAATTGTCTACAAAAGAAAGGAAAGTCCCTTTTGTCATATGGTCTGGAAACATGAGGAATTACATTCCATGTTCTTTATCCAGCCTGGGTTGTAATCTTCTCCGCAAATTTTTGGAATTTTTGACATTTGCTTCATATTCAAGAGAATAGAAACATGCAATTAAAAATTCCTTTTGCTTGTTTTATTTAGACAAGTGTTGTGAGACCATGAGGATTTTCTTCTTTCTTATCATCTAAAGCAGAAGGGGTATTTAGTAGGAGCTCATTTTCTGCCTACCATGCCTCTATTCTTTTGGGATGCTGTTTTAAAAGGATTGTGTAGGGAAAGAACTGCATGGGCTAGTCATATTGTTGCTTTTTCCAAACAAAAACAAAAAATAGGAAGAATAGGCATTCCAGCACTGAGAACTTTTTCCTTTATTAGAGAAAGCAGCTCATTGAACATTTGGTATTGCTTGATATAGTAGTAAGAATGAACACATCTATTAAGAAACAAAATAGTACACAATCTAGTCAAAATACTCAGTACTGAACTAAGGACAGGAGCCATTCTTTGTCCAGCTTTCTCAAGAAATGTAGCACTTAGCCTTATATACCACTTCACAGTGTTTTACAGCCTTCTCTAAGTGGTTTACAGAATCATCATATTGCTCCCAACAAGTTGGTCCTCATTTTACCCACCTCGGAAGGATGGAAGGCTGAGTCAACCTTGAGCTGTTAAGAATCAAACTGCCGAATTGCTTGCAGCCAGCAGTCAGCAGAAGTAGCCTGCAGTACTGCATTCTAATCACTGCTTCACTACAGCTCTTAATTCTTATAATTCTCTTTCTTTTCCTACCAAGATCCTGAGGACATGATTATTCTATTTAATTATGTGTTATCAAATTGGTGTTAATTCTTAGTCACCACATACATAATCTTCAGAGTGACTGCTTCTCAACCTGGTTCTTGAAGTCTTCCAATAGCTCACCTATCACCACAGCAATTAAGTTTTTGGCTTTCTTTCCATTTTCTCAGCTTTATAAACTTCTCAATAGAGCTAGGTCTTTGCACAATGGGTCCAAAATATGGTATTTGTGGACATTTGTATGATAGTTTTTTGTTAAGATCCATATTTTTTTTCCTTGGCTATTCATGATATTCTTCAGTTTTGATGTTGAATTTTCTCTAGCATCAAAATTAAAAAAATGTCAACACTCTTTCTATCTTGCAAAGTCCAATGTTTACTTCCATTGAGTGTCACAGAAAAAGCCATTACACAGATTTTTTTTATGTTTCCAGGTATAAATTCATAGTGCATTTAATACCTTTTGAATACTTTCAATACTTTCAATGCTATTCTACCAAATGATAACCTGGAGTTATCGCATGCTTCTTCCAGAACTGTTGACAGCTAAATGTAAAATGAAGAAGCTATACAATATATTAATATTTGCATTGAAAATGTGGATATAATCAGAAATATTTTAATTTAAGAAAACATTTGGGTTATTAGCATAAAACCACTGTAAAACAAAGCTATCCATTTTGTGGAAAGTTAAGAATATTTCCATCCCTGAATAAGAAGTTTGTTTGACTTTTTTTCAAATCATATTTTAAACAAATAATAATCCCATCTGGTTTTGGCAGATACCGACTCTGGGCAGATTCTGTTGCAGAGATGTTTGGCGGCCTTGACATCTGTGCAGTCAAAGCTGTTCACAGCAAGGATGGCAAAGATTATATCATTGAGGTGAGGAGAGCTGAATGAATAGAATGTAAGTACCATTTAAACAAAGAGATTCAGCATGGCAACCCATCACTTGCCTCTAGCTCCTGACCTGCCCACCCAGCAGTTCTAAAGCATTATTGTGAGTAGGTAAATGGGCACCACTCCAGTGGGAAAATCTAGTTGCATGAAGAGAATGCGGGCTGATGCTGGACCTGGTTGGATGCGAGATAAGATTGGTGGAAGAGGTCCTGGAAGAAGTCACCAACCCGAATGCTACTAGGCAGATGGTACAAGTTAGTTTACTTGTAAGTTCATCATGGATAAGTTCATCATGGATAAGCGTGCAAATGCAAAACTGAACAAACTAGCAATTGAGCTGTCGGGATACTCTGTAACATAACATTGTAGAGCTCCCTGACAAATGTATGCCATACAAAATTAATAAAAAACCATGGCAACACATGCAGTTATTTCAGCACTTTGCCTACATATCTTTTTCACCTATTCCATCTTGTAACTGATTCATTTAACTGATTTCATAGAAGACAAAGCACTTGGCTTCAGAATATTAGGGTAAAAGCTATTCTCTGGTTTATACATCTACGTCAAAATAATTAGGAAGCACCTTTCCATTCCAGTCTGCCAGCCCCTTTCAAGCACCTTCTGTATCTTTAAATTACAAGGAATAGGGTTTTTCCTCCTAGAATGCCCTTTGAAACAAGGTGGATGCTATGAATGGAAATAATAAAGGGCAGGGAAACTAAACCTCATATTAACTTGAAAAAAAAATAAACCTAGCAATTCAATAACAATGTTCAGGATGCTAATTCCACTCAACTTCCTTTTCCACTTGCTTCATTGGTGTAGATGGTAAGTACATGATCTAAAGGAGAGAGAGAAAGAGGCAGAACAAAGTTGAATGCCCTGTAATAGAGAGGGCTCCTGTCTCTTTTCATTGCCCAGCTTTTATAGACTGCACCACAATGGGATGTGTAGACTGAACTTTGTGCTGTTTTCATTAGACTTGGGAAGCTAGCCAACTCAGAGGAAGGAAAGAGTAGATTATGCACATCAAAGCAGTGATATAAGAAAAGAAAAAGTTTAAATAAGAGAGAAATGGAACAATGCTAATCAAAGGCTGGCGGAGTCTAAAGATAAGAGAACCAATGACCTTGTTGGCGGCCATTAGACGAGAAAAAGGGGTCTATTCTGTTCCTGTGTCTTTTAACAATTAAACAAAAATTAGCAGGTGCATGGTGTTCTCCAGATGTTTGCTATAATTCCCACAATCCCTCACCATCCATCAGGATAATTGAAACTGATAGTTGAACTCCAAACACCTAGAAGGCACCAGCTTATCCAATTGGGTTAGCTTTCTTCAGATGCTGATTATAATATTTCTTCAGGAGGTTCTAATATGTAATCCTGCAGTTCTTCTCTGTTTGGCCAAACCCCAAAACGAAGCCTTGAATCAGAGCTGCAGCTTTTTTTTTTCTTTCTTTCTTTCTTTCTTTCTTTCTTTTTTGAGATTCCAGCTAAAACAAAATAAGGAAATTCCCCTGTGGGTGGCGTGAATAATAAATTCTTCTGTCCCTCTTTATCAGGGACACTCTAGGTCTAAAAAAGAAATTGAAGTTTTTTGAAGTCAATCTTGCCATGCTGAGAGAAACTTATTTGTCAGAGTGGAGAGAGTCAGACCGTGGAGAGGGATAGATATTTGAAAATCATCAAAGCTGAAATTCAAGACCTGCTCAAAGTGGGGGAGAGAAGATAATCAGGGCAACTGGAGAAAAAAATGAGCAAGTGTCCTTGGTTACCATATGAGGATGCTGGAATGGAGACTCAGTGTCTGCCCTGTTGTAAACTCCACCAACACAGGGAGGTGGATAAAGCCAGCCTACTGCAACATTCAGGGCCACTGACACATCCAAATAGATGCATGTGGGAGAGCATTCCCACCCACTGAGCCTTGGGAAGCTGATGAGAACCACATGAGCTCTCCAGGACCAGCACATTCTTCTGCCGCATAAATGTCCTTCAGGAATCAGTGACAGGTCAAGGGTTATGTGACACAAGTGTGCTGCCAGGAAAGTGGGGGGTGGAATATCTCTGCTTTTTCTGTTTCTTCTGTTGCTGTAAATCAAGCAAGAGCAACTGTCGTGTGGGTCACTTTTAATAGTGAACACAAAATTGTATTCACCAGAACCTTCATATGGAGGTGGAATATATACAGCATAAGGTGGCTTCAGGACAAAATCAAATGACCTTTTTTCTGATTAATCCCACATTATAATTTAGAAATCCTAGGAGTACAGTTGCTACGAAGCATTTAAAAGCACAATCTAGGAAAGTTGAAAGCAGCACAGGATATTAGGCTTTTATTGTACAGCTGCTCTGTTTCATTCTAGAATTTTACAAGATATCTAAATGATATTCTGCATTTCTGATTCTCCCATCTTTTTCCATGGCTGTTTCAGCTATTTTCTTACCAAAACAGGTAGTGATTTAGAAGAAAAGGGTAGAATAGGTGTATGATTTTTTTTTAATTGCTGGACATAGGAATCTTCTGTCTGAAAATCATTTCATTTCTGGTCCTACCTTCATGTACGATACTGGTTGTCTATTTACCGTCATCATTGCAGCCACTGAAGATAACTTCCTCCCAAACCATAAACTGTGGTTATTCCATCCCCTATCTCTAAGGAGAGAACATATATTAAAGAAATGAAGGGAAAGCCAAGAAAGAAGGGCTGTTCTTTAAAAGTTGATCAATTATTTCTGTTAATAGTGATTTCATTTGTGATATTGTGAAATCTTTCCAGTAAAAATAGAAAACCAAGAAAAGTTAAATCACTCATTCTTTTCCCAATTGAATAATCCCAACCATTAATATAAAGCACTATTTTCATTTCTCCACCTAGACCACATAAGGATGGAGATTTACTCCCATGCATAATTTTCCATCTAGTTTGTCCCTGCTCCTGAATTGTGCACATATAGATATGTCTCAGGATCCTACCTTGTGGTTCTCTGCAGAAATACAATAACTATCTACTCCTAAAACATACGATTGGAAAGGCCAGTGCCTAGTCAGCCATACAAGCAGATAGTAAGGAAATTAAGACAACCCAAATCTGGATAATGATCACTGGATGGGCCAAATCAAAAGCAATAGCAACAGTACTTAGACTCATATACCACTTCATAATGCTTTACAGCCCTCTCTAAGTGATTTACAGAGGCAGCATATTTCCCCCACAATCTGGGTCCCCATTTAACTGACCTTGGAAGGATAGAAGGCTGAGACAACCTTGAGCTGGTCAGGATCAAACTGCTGGCAGTCAACAGAATTAGCCTGCAACAGATTCTACCAGTTCACACCTATTCGCTAGAACCAGTTGTTAACATTCTAAGCAGTTCAGAGAACCGGTTGTTAGAAGAAATTACTGGTCTAATCCTGTAAGAAAGGCGGGAAGGAAACATTCTGATGTTGCTTACAGAAACTGTCTCTCCATTAACCCTTATTACATTCTTGGCAGGACTAGACTTCCTGTCTCTGGAACTTCTCTGGAGTTTTTTCCCCCTCCTTTGTTGGTATTTTGCTTGTGACCATTCAAAGTTACAATGGCACTGAAAAAAGTGACTTATGACCATTTTTCACACTTACGACTGTTGCAGCATCCCCACAGTCATAAGAGGCCAGACAAGGAAATGCATGCCTAGATGTGAGTGATATTGAGTTGGCCACACCCAGCCAATAACATGACCCCCAAGGCATGTTCACCCAGTCACATGACCACAAAGCCACACCTACCACCTAAGTCACGCCCATAGAACCGGTTGTTAAAATAATTGAATCCCACCCCTGGCCTGCAATATTACATTTTAACCACTGTGCCACTCATGGACTCTTAGTAATGGGGATAGGGATAGCTGGGAAATAATTGCTTTTAACTCTGCCCATTTATCTTAAATGAAAAGAGAAAAAAGCCCATAGAATTAATTCTCCTATGCTTCCAGTATCTGAATTTCCTATGAATATATATAGGATCACAACTATTTACTAAGCCCACCCTTTTTAAGCACTGCAGTGAGAATTACCTAAGAAGATGAGAAAGAATCACAACCCAGATCCAAAACATGAATTTAATAAATAAATAAAAAGAATTGCAGCAAACTCTAAAGGATGACTGTAGAATTGCAGCAAATGCTATAGAATGAAACCCTATAGAATGAATATTCCTATTGACATGCTTCCAAAAGCAGCTGAGGCTTTTTTAAAGAATCTTTTAAATAACAAGGAAAATAAGATATAAATCAGAAGATCAATCAAATAAATAACAAATCTTTTTGAATTATATAATTATCTCCTTCTGAAATTGTGCATACTGTAGTTTGAGTTGACATTATTTTGAAAGATTCATGTACGGATATTTATTTCATATTAATTATATACTGTCATAGTTGTGCACCTTTAGGTGGCTCACAAATCTAAAAGCCAAACTATATAAGCCTATGGGAATACTCATTAAAAATAATGTACCATTAGGATAGTATACTGCCAAACAGATAGCAGGCAAAGTGCAGGTGTTAATATCCAAAGGTTGTTCATTTGTTAGATCCGGTATATGGGAATTTCTGGAACAGCCATGTTTTAGCATCTTTCTGAAGATAAGTTAAACCCAATCAGATTTCCTTAGCAGATAACTAGATTGAGAAAATGTTCATCTTTAGATTAGCTGCTTATATAGTAAGCAGATGAAGAGACGTTTTTTAGAATCAGTTGTCAGTTTCTCCACTTCAAAATATAATCCTTTCATTGTTCTTTGTATTTAGCCCTACTGCTTGATGTAAATGTCTAGTTAACCTTATGCTACTGGACATGCTCATATGATGTTTTTAATTAGCTTTTGTGATAATCCAAATTTCCTGACTCATGAAACTCATGGAAGCAGCCTACAGATTTCATGGAATTAGGGAAGTAGTTTAGCCTACAGATTTCATGGAATTAGGGAAGTAGTAGAAGAAAAGGGGCTTTCCATGTAAATTCCTCTCTTTGACCATATCCCTCCTTTCTCTGAGATACTTTTATCAGGAGAAAAACAAGTGTGATACAGACAGCCACAAACCTTGTACCGGGTAAAGATCAGAACTGCATAGCTGGGTCAACCTGTTTTTTCTCAGCTGCTACATGAATGTCTTGTTCCCAGAAACAAGGAAATCAGTTTTGCACTGAGTTTTTTTTGTGTTTATCTCAGTTTTAGAAGGTCACTTTGTGTCAACTCTTTAGACTATAAATTAATTTTAAATAATTGCTTCTTGTTTAATGCAGAAAATTTTATTTTCCAATATACTTTAATGATGTGGTAAAACTTGTCATTTTTAAGTTTCTATTGCTGCTTCTTCTTGTTTTGATTTTATTTTACTTCCTATTTCTATGCTGTATTATCTTTCTACTGTTGAATTTGAACTGCAATTGCCCTTTAGATTTTTAATGGAAAGCAATATACAACTAACAGCCAGTTTGTAATAATTAAGGCATCGGGAACCAGGACACTGTGAGTCCTATTCCCGCCTTGAGCACTAAAGCCAGTTGGGGTAACCTGAAGCTAGCCAGTTTCAGCTCTAGGAAAAAGGCAAGGGTAAACCACTTTTCGAAAAACTTTGCTAAGAAAATGCAGGGAATAGCAGTCATCAAGAATCAACACTGACTTGAAGGTATAAATAAAAATAAACTATTATTTCAGATAGGTAGAAAAACTGATGAACTTCTCATGGTCACAGCATTCCTCACCTGGGCCTCCTAGAAGGCAGTTTTCTAGAAATTATGAGCTAATTTCCCCAATCTTGATTTTATAAGAGCCGTGTTGGTGCAGTGTTTAGAATGCAGTACTGCAAGGCTAACTTACTGCTCATTCCAGGAGTTCAATCCTGAGCAGCTTGAGGTTGACTCAGCCTTCCATCCTTTACAAGGTGAGTAATATGAGGAGCCAGATTGTTGGGGGCAATATGCTGACTCTGTAAAACTGCTTGCAGAGGTCTGTAAAGCACTGAGAAATGGTATATAAGTCTAAGTGCTATTGCTATAAGGTCCACTCCATCTTTTGTAACTGATATATAAAAATAATAGTTTAACCAGTTTCCTGCAGCTTTGGTTATCTACTACTTTAGAATTTGAAACATGATACCCACAGGTGGAGAAGGTGGCATACGACAAAATGTGGGTTACAATGTTGGGACACAAACCACACAATATACATATTTATGTGCCACATTGGGATACAAGTAGAAAAGGCAGTATTTGTGTTGTGGTGCCATATTTCATCATTTTCACATTATTGCAGCCTTCCATGATTGGCAGGGTTGCTTTCCAAGTCATGAACTTGTGTCCTTTCCTTTCAACATTTTGGTACATCTTTGGTCACAATGTAAGATATCAGGAGGAGGTGAACACAATTTTTGTAGTTTTAAAAACGTTTGCAATTTCTAAGCCTCATGGTGTTTTCTTTTTCATGGAAGATCCTCTGACTACATATGGAGTCAAAAAGAGAGTAATTTGACTATTAGCACTGATGGAGAACATCCCAATACCTATTTTATTGAGTAGAACTACAAAGACTTGGGAGATATAAGAGCACCATCTTGTGGTCAAAATAAGCATATAGATATAATTTCAGGAGAAATATTTTTACATGAAATTTAAAACTATATATAAAAATTTAACTAAAGAGAGAAGAAACATGCACTTGGTTAATGTATAGTGATTTGTGAAGCATTCTATGTCATTCTTGCTCATCTTATATGGTAATTCAATTTTTCCACCCTGCAAATTTACATAGCATTACAAACTTACCTTTGTTGTCAAATCTGGGCCCTGCAGCATGAGTGATCTTGGTTACATTGATTATGTAATGTTATGGTTCTCAGCTATTTATGCCACTTTATGCAGAGTTGTTTATTTTTTTAATTGTTGGTTGTGTTTTTACTATTTTTATTTTGTTGTCTGCCTTGAGTAATTTATATTAGATGGGCAGCCACATAAATGTAGTAAATGAAAGTATCTTTCATTCATCTTTCATTTTATCTTGGCCAGCTTCGTACCTGATGCCAAAATGTAGTGCTGCTTTTAAAAAACTGCACAAACTGCATAAATCCATCCAAGTAAGTAAGCTATCATTAAGCGAACCATGGCATAGCATATTACATATAAAGGAGCAATGAACAGGGAAGATTTTCAGCCAAGACTGAAACTGTTAAAATTTGTCAAGGAAAACCTAACATTTTCTTTCAGCTATTTATCCAATAGTTAGATCAGTTGCAATCCCATTCTTGTGAAATATGAAGAGCTTTTATTCTTTCCTGTTAGGAAAAGTTGATTGTGTTCTAACTTTAAAAATATAAGTGATGTCATTGAAACAGTCACATTTTTAAAAAGCTTCTGGCTTGTATGGAAACTGATACACAAGAGAGCAAGAAGCAAAGCCACCATGTTCTTGAACATGTGTATTTGCAATGTCTGAGCTTTTCTGCTACACTAGCAAATGCAACCAGATTGAAAAGAATGTTTTCCTTGTTTAAACAGGTGATGGACAGCTCAATGCCTCTGATAGGAGAGCAAGTGGAGGAAGATAGGCAGCTTATAGCTGATATGGTGGTCTCCAGGATGACACAGACTTTAACAACTGTGGGATCTTCTCCTTCTCCTCTGAGGCCTTGGGTAAGAACAGGAGGCATCTTTCAGAGAAATCAATCTAACCAGGTGCCTGGTTTTCAAATGACATCTAAAAACATAGACCTTCTCAATACTTTAATAAAAAAAAATCTTACTCTGAATAAAATGCTATGCTCTTTTTTCTACGATCCCTAAGTACATTATAGACAAGATGTGTAATTCTGTACTTTTTAAACAGTATAACATAATAGCTGAGGCTGCAATCTGAAGTATAAAGCTGAACAGAGGGGAAAAGGACTTGAAAATTCCTTAAAGTTGTTTTTACAACAGCATAGACAACTGTGTAAGCGACATGCAGTGCTATTCATTCAACAAGTGCAGAATACTGTAGATTTATGTGTGTAACTTTCCTTTATGTCCATCAAGGTTTATCTTTAAAAATTCAAGGTTTATCTTTAAAGAGGCAGATGGGAATACTATTCAAAAAGCAGCAATGCAAATTGCTGGAAATATTAATTTCATATCTTCTCCGAATAAACAGGTGATACAAGGCATACTTATTATCTTTTTGGACAGATAGCAAAAATCAAATGGAAGATGTGCAGAGATATCTGTATGAAATCCATTCCTCAATGTAGTTAATTCTGAAGACAGCAGTCATATTAGCCATCCCTTTCACATAATGTAAGCTGTCAAAGTTCACTGAGCCAATCAGCTTCTGAATTAAGGCTAGAAAAATATATTTAAAAGCTACTGAATGTTGAATAGTAAATGTTCTTGACTCAGAAACACGTTTAATTGTTGCATTGTGTTCAATCTCAAGTCAGAGGTAAGTGTCCTTATTTTAGAAACATACTCAATCACAGTATAAATTGTTCTCCGACCTGACCAGAGTCTAAGAGTGTCATACAACCCTGGAGAAGATTAGTGGACTGTCTTTTCATTTTGCAATTGTTCCTTTTAACTTTGCTTTAATCTTGTTTTTAACTGTTTTTAAGTATACTGCAGCTTTTATATCATTTTACTGTTTTATCTGTAAATCACCCAGAGCAGTGGTGGTATTCAGCTGGTTCGTGGTAAGGATTTGGCATGGGTCACGAAACTGGTAGTAACTTCTGGCTGGGTTGACCCTCCATTCCCCGCCCAGTCAGTCCTTATTGGGCATACACAACATCGTGCGCATGCCCGACATCGCTGACTGTGTCCTTCCCTGCCCAGTCATTCCTTAACGTATTTTTTCCCTTCCCGACAATCAGCTGTTCCTACAATCAGCTGGGCTGGGATTCCCCTTTCTGTCTTACTGCTTTGCCCAGGAGGCTTCCCTGAGGTCCAGGAAGGCAAAAAACGGAGGGAGGGGGGCACAGCCACCGGGCCTCCCGCACTCCATTTTTTGCCTTCCTGGGCCCCAGGGAAGCCTTCTGGGAGCAAAACTGTTCCCCCAGGAGGCTCCCCTGAGGCCCAGAAGGCCCCAAAATGGAGCATGTGGTGGGGTTGGCCCAGATCAAAATCCATATGCAAGTTTCTAAACTAAAAAAAATAAATCCAATATATTTAAAAACTTAACATTATGATAAAGGAGACATTTTCCTTTAGAGAGGCTTCAGTAGGATTTCCCTGAAAGGCCATTATGGTACTTTAGCATGTTACCATCCTGAGGCTCTGCAGGTTGTTCAGATCCCTAAAAAAAGACACCAGACAGGTCTCAAGATTGCAAAGTTTGTCCTAATCAGCTTTTAAGATAGACTCTGTGATGGGATCCAACCAGTATAACCACCGGTTCTGTCGCTCTGTGTTGTGTGCGCATGTGCGCGCGAATCGCACGAGTGCAATTTACAACCTGCTGAGCTGCCCGGACAGCTGAGCAGCACTGCGTGCAAGTGCACAGTGGTTGAAAAAGCACTTTTTTCCTGCCTTTTCAACCGCAGCTGTGTCGTGCAAAGCAGCTGCGGTTGAAAACACAGGAAATAAAGGTCAGGTAAGAGCCCAGGTGGGTGGGTGGGCCAAAACAGCAGCAGAACAGGTTCTATGTATGCTCTCTGTTTGCTGTTTTTCACAGCAACCGGTTCTACAGAAGTGGACAGAACTGGTAGAATCCCACCCCTGGATAGACTGTATCACAGTTGTTATGCTTCATTAAGTGAACCTGGCTTTGTGAAGTAAAGAAACATTAGGAATAGGATTTGGGCTTATTAAAGGCTATGCAAAAAAGAAGTCAGCTTTCCCTATTGTTTTGCATGAATCTGCACCTACCTAAATTCTTCCTTTTACTCTGATAAGGAATAAAAGTTCAAGAAAGTGTTACACATTTTGCTAAAGTTACATAGTTTCCGTGCCCATCTACAACATATTCTCCCCATTTATTCCACCTAGAGTCAAGGGTTAGCTATAGATAGAGGTTTATGATATACTAAACAATTGGGTCATCGTTCTAGAGATATTTCCTTACCTACTGACCTATATTGGTAAAAAAGCAATGCGAGTGGGAATGACTTCCAACTTTCTGTAAACTTTCCCATTGACTTTCCTTGTAGAAAGCAGGCAGGGGTGTTGGAAATGATATCCATGTGATTGCAGCTGAGTACAAAGCACAGCACTACCAAAACAGCTACAACTTTGCCAACCTTCAATCCCACAGAAGTCCTGAGTACTGTATTTTAGACACATTCTTTAAGTTAGACCATTTAAGATATGTTAATTTGAAAATGGTTGCCCTATGATGCACTATCTTACCCAGTTTAAGGTTACAAAAATCAAACAGACACAAGAGTTTTAGCAGTAGTTAATTTGAAATTGCTACGGGCAATACATAACAGACTTCTGTTGATTCCCTTTGTGATGTTCTGATTGTACTGTCTTTATTTCAAGCCTCAATCATTGAAATCACAAATGTCAGGACCACATCTTGGACAGCTTTCCCAACCCCGACCACCACCTCAAGGTACTACGTCTACCATGTAATTTTTAAGAGTGAGGTATTACTTTCCTTTGTAAATGTATGAGTAATGAAATGTGGCTGTCAAGATTTCTGCTGATTTTTTTGAAGGAAATATGGCGACAGGGCAGGGTTAAGCTGTATTTACAGAGAAGGGGAAAAGATTAAGAATATATATTTCTTCTTAGACAGTCCATCCTGAAAAAATATTAGACTTAACATCCAAACTTAATAAGGAAACAGAAGCAATGCCAACAAAAACTTGAGAAACGTTGAAATATATTTCTGTTTCAGATGCGCAGCTCGCACACAGATTGAAGTTACAGATTTCAAAAATTAAAGAGCAGAATTTAAAATGCAGCTTTATTAGGGGAAAGTTAGCGAACTGAGACAATATTTTCTTAATCTTTTGCTAAGTTATGGCAAGGATCTATAAACATCTGTGCCAGTGGGTATGTGTGACAAGTGAGTGTAATGGGAGTTCTCTAAGGAAGTGGTTTTCCTGAGACTTACCATTTACAAAATGGCTGTTTAAGAGTTGGCACCACTTGACAGAAAACACTAGTTTGCCAGAAGAAAAGAAGTGACCCACTCTTCTTTTACCCTTTCAAATTTAGTGCATTTGGTATCAGCACCAGTTAACCTTTTGGCAGTTTCTCTGTTCATACTTATTGATTCTTAAAGAAGTTAGCTATCTAGGGGAGTTCAATTTCCTTTATAAAAGTTTTCCAAAGTTGACTATGAGGGGGAAAATGCAGAGATATTCATGGGAACAAGAGACATTTTAAAATCCTTGAAAGTTTTCATATTTCTTAGAACTCTCCATCAGTTATATGTGATGAAGTGATTATGTAAGTGATTAATAATCCAAGGAAAGGGGGTGTCCAATCTTCCAACAAACTTGTATCAGTTCAGAATCATAATATTGATGAAGATCAGTCCTTTTATAAAAACTAATCTTGTTTTACATACAGTGTCTGTATTCCTTTGCTCCAGGTGGCCCATGGCAGCCTCAAGGATCACAGCCCATACAGCCAGGACCTCCACCTCAGCAAAGGTTGTCCCCACAGGGTCAGCAACCACTGAGTCCTCAGTCCACCTCAGCCCAGCAGCAGAAATCACCTGGATCTCCCCAGCAGACTAGATCGTCAGCAGGAAGCTCACCAAGTCAGCCTTCCAAATTAGGCACATTTCCCGCCCAGCAACCTCGGCCTCCAGCACAAGGATGGGCTCCTGGCCAAGGATTCAGTGAACCTTCTAAGCAGCATCCTCATCTAAAGTATGTAGGAATATTTTTTTTTTTACAATGGACAATTCTTGCAATTTAAAGTTAGAGTCAAGCCATTATCAGTGTCTCCAAAATAGAACACCAAGCAAATGCATACACAAGAAGAGACTCAACAACTGAACATAAAGGGAAGACCACATCAAATCTATTTTTTGGCATAGACTTACATAGGAAGAAACATTTTCCAGCTTAACCACAGCCCACCCTGAAAATTATATTCAAACCTAACATAAATCCCAATGATACAGTAGTGTTAAAAGTTTGTGAACCCTTTTGAATTGTCATTACTGCATAAATATGACATGAAGCATCACAGAAGCCTTAACCCTAAAGAAAAGCCTATTAAAGAAATAAGTCAAACATATAATTTGCTTTAATCAAACAATTTTTTTAGGAAAATGATCCAAAGCTATACAAAAGCATGTGAGCCTTTGCTTTTAGTAATTGGTATGCCCACCTTGATCAGCAATAACTGTAACTAATTATTTTTGATAACTGATCACTTCTGAACCATTAGCCTGAAGGAATTCTAGCCCACTCTTAATTACAAAACAGCTTCACCTTAAGGATGTTGATCAGTTGTTTATTTTTAAAGTGAACTGGCCACTTCCACAACATTTCTATAGAATTAAGGCCAGGACTTGGACTTTAACCATTTCAAAACTTTTGGATCATTGATTTGCTGCTCATCTTAAGCTTTACCTCAGACAAATATCCTATTTGCCTGTACAATTTGCTGATACAATCTGAAATTCATAGTTCCATCAATGATGAGTCGCCTGGTCTAGAGACTGCAAAGCTGGCATAAGGCATAACATTGCAACTACATTTCACATACTTTTGCCACACAAAAATGTAGCTTAATTCATTGTTTCAATAAATGAATAGACAAGTATGTTTTTCATTCATAGCTTTAATGCTCTATCTAGTTTTTATGATTTATGTGAACAGATCACATTTTAGGACATATTTATGCATATTGAAAACTCAAAAGGGTTTATAAACTTTTAAGCATCACTATAAATGTCCAACAACAGTAGTGACCCACTACTTCCTAAAGCTTCTAAATTTTATAAAGGAAATAACCAGATTTTTATTCCTTTTTCTTCTTCTTTTCAGCAAATCACAATCCTTGACAAACACCTTCAACATCTCAGAATCTTTACAGCGAGGTATCACAAATGAAGATGAGGCAAAGGCTGAAACCATCCGCAACCTGAGGAAGTCATTTGCTAGCCTGTTTTCTGATTAGCATCACAACCCAATTTTGGATATTTGGGTCTTCTTTTCTTGCAAATCCATAACTCGTTTTATAGTTCCCTATACAAATTTGTCTTTAAATGTATCGATCATTATAGTTTCTTGTATGTATTCCTATATTCAGCAAAGGTGGAAAAAATCAAAAAGCAATCAAATCAGCCTCCCTCTGCTCTGGATCCCACTAGCATCTAAATGCTATCCTCAACTTAAAGAAAGCAAACACATGTCCATCATCATCCACACACAGAGGTTATCTCATGCACGATCAGGCCTATAAAATGCTGCAGTGTGTATAAACTGCCTTGAACACTTGCTATGCCATTTACGGCAGATGTGCAGAAAAGAGGCACATGAGGCGAAACATATAATCATCTCACTCAATGTTCATTTATCTTAACTATTTTTATCTACTAGCATGATTCTTCATGTCTTTTATAAGTCAGATTCTAGTTTACTCTTTTAAAAATTCAATTATAAAACTACTCCTCAGAAAATGTGTTATCTATGACATCCCCTTGACATCCAGAATTATTCCTTCTCAATTCAAATTTCCTGGACTAAATAATTGCAATTCTTAGGTAGGACACAGTTGAATCATTTTACTTTGATTGGTGTACAACCAGGATGAAATCCATTCTAATTCCCAGATGCGGCATTGTATAAAAAGATCATTTGGAATTAAAATCCTTTGCTCGCTGTTACAATAGCGCAAATCACCTAAGATTGTCCTATTCCAAAGTAATAATTTAAACTATAATGATATAAGCCTTTATATTGAAGTACCATGTGTATGGAAACAAATATACAGGTCTTAAACTATACAAGCATGTCAGAATTCATCTTTATAGCAGTGTATCATGCAGTTCAGAAAAAGGTGATTGAAGCAAACATCTTTGATCCACATTGGGACTAGGATTTCACAATGAACTACCTCTCTAGAGAAATCAAGTTATGAAATTCTTATTTTGCAAAGTTACATAAATGCATACAAAAGTGATAAAACTGTATAGAAAGAAGCCAGACACCATGAAGTACAACTCAGTATTTCGAGGCCAGCAAAATAGGAAGTAGCAATTCATTCAGGATAACAAAATATGGGAAATGTTTCTTCCCAGCCTCAAAGTTGTCCCCAATATCAGTATCCAAATTATGCAGTATGGCATAACATTTTAGCCACTCAATAAAATCAGAATACAAGTGAAGTGTTAAAAGAGATGAGGAAACTATGAGTTCTGTTGCAGAGATTTCTCACTTTAAGCATTGATACGATCGACCTCCTTTTATTGCAGTATCTATGCAAAAGTAATGCAAATGGGATGTTGCATTATGTATGCATTTGCTGTATATAGATTCTAGAGCAGGCATGTCCAACACACATGGCCCTAGACAGCTAATTCAGCCCCACAAAATTGTAAATTTATAACGTGATTTATATACATTACCAATGTTTTATATGCAGCTCAAGACAATTCCTTTTCACTCAGTGCAGCCCAGGCAAGCCAAAGGTTGGATACCCATGCTCCAGAGTAAGTCTACTGCAAGCACATAATTTTTCAACCCAGTAGAGGCCAAGTTCAAAAAACCCAGACAAACTGCTTTGTTCCTTAATATTGTTTGTACAGGCAAAGCTGTGGATATGTTAGCAAGAGCTACTTTTTTCACGTTCTAGAATGGAACATTACCTACCGCCCCACCTTTTTCCCAAATCCTGTAAAAACATTTGGTAGACTTAGGAAAACAAACATTACCACTACTTTGAATGTTTTATCAGCTATCTGGAATGCATCTGAAGAACAATTCAGCATTTCAAGAGAAGTACAGATAAGGATCCACTTCCATTTAAAATGACCCAATTGGAATTGCTCATCAAACCCAGCACATGGTTTACTAAGCTAAATGTTCATAGCAAGGTGATCTAATTTCTTCAATATTATCAGTATGACTTACTTCTCTAAATGTGTCATGTAGGATTGCACTATACAGCCAACTGTTCAATTTCAGTGCGCGATAATTCTGATAGAATTTGCTAGTGAAGTTTCCCACCACCAGCACATCATAAATTAATGTAATTCTTAGATCTACTAAATTTCACCTTCAAGTCTCAAGTATGTTTAACCTACCTCAATAAGGACAGAACAATTATATACTAGTCCATTTTGCACTGGAATATTACAGAAATGTTAAATAATTCCTCTCATAAGCAATTAGTCTATTTTGCAAGCCAAAGGGCTAATTATACCAATGTTGTACTGTTGTTGGAACAAAAATCTTTTATCATCTGCAATATTCTGAACAGTACGCATCCTAAGTGGAAAAATGCCATCACAGTGCAAGTATACAAAGAACCAATTGTTTAGTAATAAAGCAAAATTGCAGTTAGACTCAAGCAATTTTAGAACTGATTTATGCATGTTTGAGTTCTAATATGGTTGATTACAGCACCTTAGTATATTATAAACTAGCAGTTAAGTATTAACTGTTGGTCTGTTGGTGTCATGATAGCAGTATTGCAATATTTAAGGGGCTGCAACAAAGAAGACAGGATGGAAATTAATCAAGGAGAGGACTAAGAAATTTCCTGTTATCCAATTATTTCCTGTTATTTCCAATTATCAGTGGTCACAAATACTGAGCACTCCTTTACTATCCTTGTGATAGTAAATAAACACGTGTTTATAATACTCCACCTATAAAGTACTATATATTCTAAATATAGTACAATCACATCTTTAATTTAGGCACTTAATATGTGAGCTAATTAATGTAAATCTAAGAAATTTAGATTTTGAGCAGTGAGGCATAACATCCACCTATTGTATTCTCACAATTTTAGTATTGTGTTCAATCTGTCATGAAATTGAAATTTAGGATGAGACAAAACTGACACATCAAAATCAATGCAGTTAAGTACTTCTTTTTGTTTTGTTAATAACACTGAAAATACTATACAGAAAAAAGTTCGGAAGAATAGCAAAGATAATAAATTTTCCCTTGAGAAGACATCAATGGATAGTCATCCATGGTTATACTATTTGTGCTCAATAGAAGATTACCTTTTAATAAGACATCTCTTTATCAACTGATTAACTAGACAGAGTTATGTTTATTTATCCCAAGAATTGCACATCTTATAATTATATATTTAAAAATAACTAGGTTTACCCAATTTAGTTGGCTGAAAAATGTTAAAAACAATTATCATGTTCATTAGTCCCATCAATCACACGATGTTTCTTTAAATGTACGGATAGCCCTGTCGTTTTATTTCATAAAGTACTTGGGGTACTTTCTGTTGATATTTACTAGAAAAAAAATTGAAATAGAAAGGCAGCAACTTTTTGTCAGAGCTTCTGACATTCACCATTTCTTATCTTCTGGGTTATACTGTGTAGCATGTTATTATTCAACTGTTTGTAAGGTGAACAGTTCAATGTCTTATTCTCTCATGAGTAAAAATCATTTAAACTCAATACTCTTTGTGCTTTGAAATCCCCAATACCAACATTGCTTTTCAAGTAATAAAGAAAATATATAGTGTTCGAAGAACAACCAAATCAGGTGGTTTTTGCAGCCTTCCAAGTGCCAGAAATTGCATAGAACAGAAAATCTTTTCATGGAAAAAGTATTTAGTCAGGCTAATTACTCAGAGAAAAGAACATAGCACAAATGTTTAAATGACATTTAAAAATTAAAACAACCCAGACCAAGTTAGATGTTTACATTTTAAAGTGCTTTTTATCTGATGCAACAAAAGCAAACCTCCTTTTACTTTCTAAGAAAGAGCTTCTCACTGTAAATGAATAGTTTCCCTCAATATTCTTGCAAAAGGGAGTGCGTTTCCAAGGGAGGCAGGAAAAATTGTTTGCACTGAACTGTTGGGCCCAAGTCTATGGAATCAAGATGCTATAGTACTTATGCACTATCATACTTTTAAAACAGTAGACATCATAGCTCTGAAGCTATACAGTTTAAAGTAAGCCCACAAAGAGAGGTTTAAAACTTTATCAATAAGGCTGAAAGAGTTCTCATATGAATGCACGGCGACTATCAATGGGGCGGCTCCGACTGGCTCTTCCTGGGAGAGTTGGATTGGGTTCTGGAAATGACACAAAAGGATCGAAATATGGTAAAGTGGAGAATGGATCTAAGTGTGGGGCAATAGGAAGATACTGACTTGGAAGGTCTGCAGGGCCAGGAAAGAGGGAGCTTATTGGATCACCAATGGAAGGGACTGCTGGCCTCTCATCAAATTCACCACCAATGATATTGGGGGGATAAAGTGGATTAGGACAAAAAGGATTGGGATACAATGGACTGGGATGAAATGGCACAGGGAGGGGGGGAGGGGGCAGAAACATTGTGTGTCTCCACTTCAGTGCGTCTTTCTTCTGCTTCAATTTTTTCTTGTACAGCTGTAGAAAAAGGGGGAAATAAAATTTAGCTTGACATTTCATAGCGTTCGTTGTTATAAAAGTTTGCTAGTATATTCCTGGATATTTAGAATATATGAACCAAATTTATTAGCACAACTATCTCCATGCCTTCTGCAGCTCCATAATTTTTTTTATTTCATGCAATTTTTCAAAATCAATATGGGATTTCAGACCAGAATCCAACAGCTTGAAAGAAGCAGTGCAGGCTGGCATCCATTCGAATAATAATGTTCGCCTGCTCTTTCAGCATGGTCTTTAGAGTTTGCTTCCTATGATGACTGGAGGTTTCAGTTAGCCGAGAATGCAACTTGTTGAATTCTTGGTTATTCAGACTGCATGTACTCTTTTAAAAAAAACAAAGCAAAAGCAAAACATCTATCATGAAATCCACTTACTTCTTTCCAATCTGTGTCTCGAGATCTGGCAACCGGATCTGCATAAACATGTAAGATACAAATCAGCTTGCTACAGCAATTCTATAATGATGTAGACAACGTATTAGGTAACTTGTCCTGATTGCATGACTGCTCCAAGACAATAACCATTTATTGGACACAATGTCCAAACAGCTTCACAGAGGTACAATTCCTTACAAAGAACTCTGGCAAATTAACTTCAGAGATGACAAGAAGCCTCTCATTCAATGCCATATCATTAGAAAAAAAAGTTTTATGAACAATTACCTCTAAAATCTCGCAAGTATATGAACCTCCACAATAACTGATCATTTGAAGCAGCATAAAGATCATGACAAACAGCAGACAAAGAAATTAATGAGCGAAAGTCCAAGAGCCGGAAGATTCGGAGTTTCAGCTCCAATGGAAGAACCACCAGGCCAAACACATCTGGTAGATTCAATGCTAAAAGGAGAAGGGGAAGAACAACATTATTACAACATTCCAACAGTTTAACTTTTTATCCATTTCATAATTATAATTAAATACTGCTTGAAACAAAGCATGTTGATAAGGTTTGGCTAAACAAAAAGCCTATTTTTAGGCAAACAGCTTTGAATGTAATCATGCTGAAAAAGACATCAAAAATGACATAATATTAAGATCATTTATTCAATTGGGTTCTCTTTACCTATTTTTAGGACTTCTATTGGAAACAGATCACATAAAAAAAATTATACAGAAATACTGAAACTTCAAAAGACTTCATTAACTTTAAACACCATTATATTTCTACTGAAACATATGACCAAGTGAGACTAAAAAGACAATGTCAGCAGAGGTATGATTACCACTAATCAAATAATAGTCCTGAAATAAAACTCTAAAGCACCCTCCCTGACAGATTTAGAAGACATTCATTTACAGAGAAGTCACATTAGACTTTCAACAATGAAAGGTTTCACTCTCCTGATTAGAACCAAAATCCTCTGGCAGCTACACAATGAGATCAGTATGCAATATCATCTAGTTTTTTCTTTAGCCCAGTAAAAAGAAAAAGAAACAAAAAACACTCCTATTCAGATCAAAGTTAATATATTATTGCTTTACTATGTTGTCAAGCCACATAGGAAATAGTCTCTTTGGCTGGCTCAACTACAATAAAGTTTTGCCTGTTAGTGAAACAAGAATTGTTTCAAAAGGCACTTACAGATTTTAATCTATTTTATAACATTTCTCAAATTAGAATTTGGTACTTGTTCATCTTGTAAGTCACAGCTGCAGCCATGATGGAATGAGAAGCAGAAGTAAATGTCTAATTTATAAATAGCAAAAGAATTACAGCTTAGAGGCTAAATACCCATCTAGTGGTGAGGACAAAATCTTTCTGAGTTGGGACCCATTCTGGTTACTTGGCATCAGAGCCTAAACAGAGTGTGGCAAACTTGTTTGCATAAATAAGCTTCAGACTGTACACTTAATGGTCTTTACCACTGTTTTTCAAACTTGGCAACTTTAAGATGTGTGGACTTGAGCTCCCAGAATTTCCCAGCTTCAGCTTCTGGGAGTTGAAATCCACATCTCTTACTTGCTGAGGTTGAGAAACACTAGTCTAGTCAGCAGCAGAGAGCTCAATGTATAGACAGTCATCTCAACTCTCAACACAGTTCGAACCAAAAATGACCACATTTAATAAGTTAAGGGAATCCAGAATCATACTGAGAAAATATTGCTGTTATACTCTCAAAACGTTCCAGCTAAATGAGTTCAACGGGGGTGTTTTTTTCCCCATGTCTTGCACTAAGCACATTGTGCTACAAACGTACTCCACTCACCACTGTTGGTGGTTTTACCTGTTATAAAAAAAATTTATAAGACTCCTTCCATGATCTGCTTACCTTGCCGAGCAGCAGCCAGGAGAGGGTATACCAGTCGATCTTTAAAGAGACAAGAGAGCTTCTGAAGGTCCTTATACATGCCTGCGACATTTCCTTTAGGAAAAATAAAAAAATAAGTATCATCTGCTCAGTATATCCTATTCTAATTATTTGCCTCTAAGAATAAATCACCAGGCAGTAAAATGGAAAACAAATGATTCTCTCATTCAGACTGGCAATATGCTGTAATAATTTGATTTGCAACAAATAGCAAAGCCTTCATGGACTGATGAATTTGGTGGACCTATTAGCACGGTTAAACAGCACAATATACCGAATCGGTGGCAACTTTTTAAAAAGGTTTTTAATGAGGAAGAAGA